CTGTTCCTTAAAGGAATCATTTTAAAGCACAGGCCTATGCTTTTTTCTTCCTGGTTACTTCAACGTGCGTAATTAGAGTTATCGCTTTTAGGATGGGGCTTCAGGCAGAGATTGAGTTAATTAGATTTCTTGACCAGCCCAGAAGGAACCCTAAACCCTGAACCGTGCCGGCAAGCAAGAGGCTGATCCGCGCACTGCGAGTCATCATCTCCGTGCCAGAGCTTTACTTGCTGGTGACTGGATTCTCATCCTCCATCAAGGTGCCCGGGGTTTCGTGTGTTCTAGGGGGCCTGTGGGAGCCTTGATGGCCTTGCATATTATATAGTTGCAATCTAGAGAAGCTGGCTCTCTCGGAATGACGTGCATGCTGCCTTCCAATGACGCCCTCCCTGGCATTTGTCAATACGGCTTAAGGTTCTGGGCTTATTTCCGGTATCAAATTTTCTCAATGCAAATGCAAATGTAGACGGCATAGTCAGTCATTCTTCTGAGTCGTCGGGACCCGAACTTGAACCCAAGTCCGAGCTCATTCTGAAATGGTTTTGCCGTCCGAAGCATGCTCAGCATCTCGTCTGCTCTTATGTAGGAATAGCAGGAATGAGAAGCCAGGCACCTTAGGAAACGCGCGAATGGAATGGACCTTTCCGTGGAGATGATGGCACTAGGCCAGAAGCTCTCTGTACACGAAACTTAGCTTTGCCAGGGAACAACCAAACAAACGTTCATACATACAGACATACAAGATGCCGAACACACAACAAACACACACACACATTGAAGCAACCACCCGTGGTTGGGGTGTGCCCTAATCATAGTCACCTCGACCGAAGGCCCTTCGGCCATGATCCCTAAACTCATGCTCATAGCTTATGACCTAAGGATCCCAGTGCCCCTATGCGAAGCCCGCCACTGCGCCCGCAGAGGCCATCATCTTTGGTTCCCTGCTTCTGGTGGCCGCCTTGGTCTTCTGGGCCGTCATTGCCGTGGAGGTCCTACATCCTATCATCTCGGTCCTCCCCTATCCAGACTGTGGCTTGGGCCAAAACTAGTGTTGTTTGTTTTGAATTTGGGGGGTGCTTGTTCAGGATTTGCATCAGGATTCTGCCCAGGCCTTTAAAGAGCCCTCATACAGAGCCTTACTTTCCATGTCCCTGACAAATCCCTCAGAGGATGCTTGCAGATCCCTATAGTCAGAGTCCGTGATTTTCTGAAACTACTGGTAGCTGCTACTATCGCGGCTTTTTTTGGTGACTGGAGTAGAGTTTGGGGGGTACACTGTGGCATATGTTATGGGACTATCTGGGGACATCATTGCTCACTGGTTTGACTCATTTGACCTTTGCATTCTTATTCCTTGGGCTTGTCCCCCAAACCGCAGGAAACTTTGTAGAACCATGGCTCGACAACTGCAGAAAAATGCTTCCTGCAAATCCCAGAGCTGATCAAGTTGATGGTGCATGATAGAGCTGCCGATACAGCGGTTGGTGTATGGTGCTGTCGATTGTCGGGTTGAGTGTTTGCTGTAGGGTTTAAGGTTAGGCATCACCAACATGTATTTGGAGGGTGAAGAATTTAGTCGGTGATTTGCAGAAGGTCGTCAAGTGCCAGAGCATCTTCTTTGTGCTCCGATTGTGTGCTTGTTGCCCTGGCTCCGAAACCAGTATTTGGTCCTTGCGTCCACCAGATTCGCCACTCTTAACCTAGGACCTAGATGACTTATTGGATGCCTTGCCTGGTGTGTTCGACCTAGCGATACACGAGGCAACCACACGAAACAGAACAGTAAAGGTACGTAGTAGTGCTGGAAACACATGTACTAGTATTGCTCCGAAGGCAACACTTAACAGTGTCCCGGGTTTGCCATAAGGATTGTTCCCTGGCAAGGACTGAGGACCTCACATGTTCAATAAAAACCCCTCTGTAGGTCGAAACTGTTCCGCCGGATTCAGCGGCATCTTCGCCGCGACAGTTACTCTTTTCCAGCAGATGGTCATGGGAGATGCATGGGGCGCGACCTTTGCCTGCAAAGAGGACGCATCAAATCGTGACAATCGAAAGTTCACGGTCGAAATCAAATTAGTGCAAACGCGTTCTCAAAACTTGGACAGGATCCAAGAACCATCTCTGCCTCGCATTGCTGAGCCCAAACCTACAGTCGGGTGAACTTCGGTGTAGGAGCATGCCTGAGACTAGCCAAGGATTTCTTTGCCGCTCATTGAGGCCGGAAGAAGCTCGAGCTTCGCTTGTATGGTTCCAGGTTGAAAAGTGGGGGATCCTAGAGAGGGTCAAGTGATATCACTCTATGCAATAACGACGGGCAACCTCCCTGAAAAGTTTGAAAAAGACCAAGTGCGAGATACTATAGGTAGGGACACATGTCTAGGTTTCTCAAAGCCACGTTCGACCCCTAATCCTGAGGCGAGGGATTTGTAGCCTCTTGTTGACTAGCTGCTTGTCAGTTAAGTGTGCTGCTACTCCTCACTGCTGCTCTAATTGCTACCGGCTACTGACGACGACGATGGTCTGCCTGGTAATGGTGTTCTCAGTTTTCAGCCCAAAGCAGTGCATCAGCAGCAGCAATCAGAGAAAGAAAACAAACACTTCCCATGTACCCCATGTACCCCATATGTCAAAGCTAGAGTTCAATTAATTCTGCTGTCTTTGGGAGGGTTGGTTTTGACTCAGGTTATTTGTATGGCCGTTGAGAGAACCATCACCCTGGATTTGATTTTGGACGGGTGAGTGAGTCCTCAAATAGTACAGCGTACGCACATGGCCGCCGTAAGCCGCCAAGCCCTAAACCCTAAATCCTAAACCCTAATCCCTGAACCCTAAACCCGAAACCCCTAAACCCCTAAACCCTGAACCCCCAATTAAACCCTGAACCCTAAACCCTAAACCCGGAAACCTTCAGCCCCAAGCTCCAAAACTTTGAAGCAACCGTCAAAGGCCGAAAAGGCTCCCGCTTTCACAACACAACAACCCCCGAGCTCCTCCCCCAAAAACGGTGCCCCCTGCCCTGCAAGAACCGAACTTCCCGGCCCCGTGAACCTTATACCTAGAATGACAACAGTGATAATAACTACAGCAGTCATAATCATAATCATAATTTATAATAACGATCTTCGCACAACAATCAGAATACTACCTTCAATATTAATGAACCCAACGCCTTACTCTAATTATTGCGGCCTTTGTGCTAGTTCTCTCAATTGGAAGTCTTGCAGAGGCAGCCCCGTGGACTTTCCCCGTGCTCTTTGTGATGATGATGACGGTCTCTCTGGGTGCCATCCTCGCCGTGATAGCAGCTGGATTGAGAAGCCTAACCCCCTAAGCCCTGAACCCTAAACTCTGAACCCCAAAACCCCTACATCATGCAGCCTGAACCCCTACACCCTAAATCATAAGCCCCAAACTTGCCCTAAACCCCTAAACCCCAAATCATAAGTCTCGAGCCCCTAATTCCTAAATCCCTGCACCTCCGATGCTTTCAGCGGGTGGGAGGTATTGGGCCATACTGGGGTAAGGAAGACGTGCCGTTTTGAGTAGGGCGTTTACGGATAGCGCCATTGGCCGCACAGCCCTGAGGTGCAGCATGTTGAACCCCAGGTTGTGTCATCCTTGCATTGAATCCTCGCGTTTAGAACTACATAATTCGTCATGTTGTTTCGGTTCAGTTTTACTTACGGATCGCAAGATGTTTGTTCTTTCGGCTCTTTGGATGAAAAGATGGACGGGATTGTCAAGCTGTGTGACGAGGTGTAACTAAGCCTAGGGCTAGGGTCTGGGGGCGGAGGCTTTGTTGCGGCAGCTTTGAGTGTACTTTCCCGCCTGTCATTAAAAAGGGCATCACCCCAAATCCCCCCCCAACGATGCTGTGATTGACTGTTGGCCCCCACATGTTTATCTTCCTGATGGATTCGGCAGGGTGTGCTCCTGGCGTTGTTATTTCTTGTAAACCCTAAACCCTAATGCGGGCTCGTCCTAGCAAGGTGGGAGGCAAAACCCCCCCCCTCCCCCTGAAAAAAAGCCCGAAGCCACAACCCTGAGGTCGAGCGGGCTGCGCAGGGGCGGGACAAGGACCAGGAGCGAAAGATCAAGCAAAAGGAGCCCAGATGGGGAGTTCTGGGGGGTAGTTGGGGGGTCTGGGGGGCTTGTGGGTTTGGGGGGGAGGGGGTTGATGGGATGGGCTTGAGCTTTCGAGTTTTTTGGGGGCCTGGAATTTGTTTCAGGCTTGCAGGTTTGAGGTGTGGGCTTTCAGGGTTCGAGAGTTTTAACTTAGGGTTTAACAGCCTCACGGTTGCTACGCTGCGTGTAAGTATACTTATGCTGCGGCCTTTTGAAAGCCCCACCAGCAGCCCCGAACCCCCAATATCCTACCGCTCAAATCCCAGGCCCGGCACAAACTCCCAAACTCTCAACCCGAGACCCTGAAGCCGCAAAATCCTCCTGTAGCCGCTGCATAACCTCGCGCTTGCCAGAATCACCGCCCCAAACTGCCTGAACCCTCCAGCCCCTGAACCACCAAAGCCTAAATCCCATGGGTTTTAAACCCCGAAAGCGGGTTTTCGACAATTTGGAACAACATCCCCAAGGCCGCGCCAAAACTAAAGCACTCTTCGACGGTTTAAGGTCTTAGTACACTTAGGGTTCAGGGCTTAGGGTGTAGGTTTGTTTGGGTTTCGGGTATCTTCGACCCCAACGAAGGAGGAGGAGAGGTCGAAGAACATGATCGACCTGGCCGTGCTATGTGCCACGATGGATGAAGACAACAGTGGATCGCTCTCCCTGGTAGAGATGCATCTTGGCTTTAAAGGTTTGAAGGTGTCTGGCCTCGTTTTATTTCCTCGCTCATGCTTGATCTTTTTCGGAGGCCTGGCGCAAGTTTGGCGGGGGGGGATTCCGAGCCAAGTCGAGTGCAAGGCACAGGCTACGTCAGTCTAGCATGTTCTAGTCTAGTCCTTGACCTGTGCATGGAATGCTACCTGTGTCTGTGTTCCTTTACCCCCAGATCTGACCCTTACTCAGCCTGGTAATCCCTCATAATAATAAGCCTTTATGGCTGTACCAGAGCAAGGCCCTATAAATCCCTTCAAATCTATATTACAAGGCTCGATTTGGCCGCATAAGCAAAGAATCATCTTGGGAATCATTTATCTTCAATCCTAAACCCTAAAAACCTGAAACCCACACCCTAAAGCCCTAAACCCTAGACAAGGTGATGGGAAGAACCTGTCAGCACCTGCCCACCAGGGCTCCGCCGTCAGCCTCACCAGCAGTCGAAAAAAGGTGTCGAAAAGAAAGAATGCGGAACGCTATAGACCCTGAAATCCTAAACCCTATGCACTAAAGCTTTAGGCCCTAAAACCCTAAGACCTGTTGTCCGAGTAACGCCGCAGGCTGCAGGGCTACGATCGGAACGAAGAGTTTCGAAAGCTCATGCAGGTCATGGCAACTTGGCTTAGCTTTAGGTAAATTCCCCCCTTTCGGGGTTACGGTTCCGGGTTTAGGGGTTTCGGCTCGTCCTCCAGGGTTTCGGTGTTCGGGTTGTGGGTAGGAAATACTCGGTCGCCAATATACCCCCTATTCGCACATGTCCCTTGCGGTAACTGTTGCTGCAAGGCAGGCGTACCTAAGTTCAGGGTGGGTTGGTGCTTACTACCCTAAACTCCAAACCCTGAACCCTGCACCCTACACCCTAAACCCCAAGCCCTAAACCCCAAACCCTAGACCCTAAACCTCAAACCCTACTGTACTTACTACCAGCACTACTGTACAGGACATCAAGCGAGATGACATGCAGACCATTTTCCGTGTCCTTGACAGCGATGACTCCGGCGAGGTGCAACGCCCAAGCTTTCACCGAGTTTGTCATTTGTTCGTTTGCACATCGTACCATTTGGACAGGGTTGCTCTTCGGTTACGAGGAGTCACTGGCTCTACACGATTCGGGATTTGCGGTGATTTGAAGTTTAAGTGTTTCTGATTTGCGTTTGAGGATTGAGCTGTGCCATTTCACGGTCTTCAGAGGGTCCCATGTGCCCCATCATGTGCCCGACATGTATCTGCGGCCATTGAAACAGTACGTAAGCTTTCCACCTGAGGGGTCAGACTCCCGGCACCCGCGTTCCTCAACCTTCAGGTTCAGGGTTTCTGTCAAGGTTTTATACGGGTTTAGGGTTTAGGATGGTTGATTCAGAAATGCTGTGTTCGTTTCGGCAAGTATCCCTTATAGGTACTCAAGGCCATGTGGGCCTTGTTGGATGTAACAGCGCCTGCTTGAACGACGCCGAGGCCTGGCCTCGGCATGATTAGGGTTCAGGGTTTGGGTCCTAGGCGCATAGGGTAGTCCTCTAAATTAGGGTCCCTCTTCAGGTCCCCAGAGCACCCTCATAACAAGGATCCAAAACGTGACCCTAACATAGAGTACTACCTACATGCTTCCTGTAGTCACCAGGCATTGTTGGCTTAAGGTTTTCGGTTCATTAGGGAAGTACTGCTGCAAAACTTCATCCAGAAGCTGTAATTATGATTATGATTATGATTATGTTCTAGAAGCCCTGGTGTTTTTTTTTGGGGGGGGTTCTTCAATGTAGGGGCCTATATCATTGCCAATACTATTTTTGGGGGTTCCTTATTATGATTTTAGTCTAATGGGCCCCAAAACCCTATTCTAATTATGAAGGCCCCTAGATTGCCCTAAACCCTCAGCCCCAAGCCGTCACTCCTGACAGCAAGGTGTCTTATTTCGAGTTCTGCCAGCACCTGGGCAGCTTCCTCGAGCGTGATCCGGTGGTGATGCACTCCCTGGTGAAGCGCGGAAGTAGCTTTAAGAAGCCAAGGGTTTCGGCTTGGGGGGGGGGGGGTGTGGATTTAGGACTTAAGGCTTCTGGAGTTTAGGGTTTGGGCTCTTGGGGCTTACCTATGAGGGTTCGAGGGTGGAGTGTTTAGCCACGAGGAGCTTCAGTGCTGTCAGCATGAATAGCCCCGGCCCCCGCAAGCCCAAATCCGCAAAAAATCCTTCCGTGGCGGAGCCTAAACCCTAAAATTTCACCTAAACCCTAAACCCTAGAGACCCCATGCTGCAAGTGAAGTTCCTGAGATTATTGGCAAGTTCAGGGTTTCGAGACCCAGGCTCCAAAATCCCAAAAGCGAAACTCTGCAAGCTGGACCCTGGCAAAGCCACATTTCTGCAGGGCTGGTCTAGGGTAGCCATAGCAAGGAGCCTTGAAGTGCTAGGTTGTAGGTTGTCTTGGGTTCAGGTCATCCCTACACAGATCCCAGGCCCTAAACTCTGATCCCTACTTTAGGGTTTGTTTAGACAGACAGATAGATAGGTAGATAGATACATAGGTGGGTGGGTAGGTAGGCAGGTAGGTATGTATTATAGGTAGGCAGGTAAGCAGGCAGGCAGGTAGTAGGTAGGTATGTAGGTAGGTAGGTAGGTAGGTAGAGAAAGAGAGAGAGAGAGAGAGAGAGCGTACAACGGGATGTTATGTGATTACAGATGAATTAAACACACAGTTTTCAGAGGTTTTGTCTGTACTGGGTTGGGGTTGAGGCATACTGATGTTCCAACAGTCTTGCTTATGCTGCAAGAGGTGTCATCCCAGCGAGTGCACTTGTTTTCACACATCAGTAGCCTACGGTCAGTGTCCAAGTACGGCAAACCTATGAGAGACCCCTTACACTATTTTATTGTTACTGTTGTTACTATATATTATCGTTATTGTTACTACTACTACTACTACTACTACTACTACCACAACTACTACTACTACTACTACTACTACTACTACCACCACGACTACTATTATTACTATGCTGTTATCACTGTATAGCCCTGTAGCCGGCTTTTGTGGTACTGACTCATCATACGCAAAGATACCCTGCAAAGCCGGTAGGTGTTATTACGCCTGAACAGGTTTTCCATCATGGAGCTCAGAAAGTTGACGCTCAGCTTCTGTTGCGGTGTGTGGGATAGGGCGAGTGTGCATGTGCGTGTGTCTCTGTGTGTGTGTCTGTGTGTGTGTGTCTGTCTGTCTGTGTGTGTGCGTGTGTGCGTGTGTGAGAGTGCGTGCTTGTGCGCGTGTTTCGTATCTTTCGGGTGGATGCAGTGTTTCTCGCAGGGGCAACTGCCTATGACATGCTTGGAGATTCGTCTCGTTGCCCAAGAGTAAAGGCTCTTGTCAGGGTGAGTTCACGAGAAACAAGCACCGAGGATGAAGGAGGATGCGCTGGGAACTCTTCACCTCCACACTCGTCTTCTTCAGGACGGTTTAGGGTTTAGGGGTTCAGGCTTTAGGGTCAGGTGATTAAGATTTAGGGTTTAGGGGTTAGGGTTTAACTAGATGTTTCGGGCTTAGGAGCTGTGGGAAGCGGTCTGATATTATGTGGGTTCTTGTCCAAGAAGTTCATTTAACTTACCCCTGCAGTAGAACCTATAATCTATAGTCCAGACTAGGCCGAATAGGCTTTTACTAGGGCAATTTAAATCAAATCTTTTGACAAGAACCCAGGTTTTTGGGCTTCAGGGTTTTTCAGATGTAGGATTAGGCTCTGAAGCCCAGAGCCTTGTCCCAGATACACCGCTCAAGCGACACGATACACGCTGCAAGCGCAACCTGGCATGTATTTCGAACTTCGTCGTGATCTTGGTTGAATGAACGCTTCAACTGTTGAAATCAGACAAGCGGGCGTACTGCCTCGCGTGCAAGATGCCTGAAGCTGCAAAGGCTCCATAGACAATCGATGAGTTTTGTCGCCACATAATGCCCAAAGAGCCTAGCAGCTGTAATCACTTACAGACCATACCCACTCGTCGTCACGACAGCAGAACTTGGTAATCGCAGGAGTCATGGTACGAATGCTTTTCGTCGAAATCTGACGGCAAGCCACGAACAGCAGCATTAGTCATGGCATCTGTCATCTCACCACATCGTACAAACACCAAAGCTTGAACCCATAAGCACGACACCGGAAACCCCGAGCGAAGAACCTCAAAAGCGGACACCCTGAACCCCAAAGCTCCAGGGGTTATCCAGATCGCCCAACTATATTTGGACCATAACTAGGTAGGCCTTTGGGATATTTGTTATTTTCCCTTATTGGGCTTAAGAGGACCCTATTTACTAATATTTTTCAGAGGCTTTAAAGGGCCAACCAGATAAGAAGGTTTAGGATTCTATAGGGTTTAGGCTCCATTCACAGCTTAAGTAAGTACAAGCGCGAGTTTCGACCAGAAGGGCTCCATGAAAGGGTACTTGCGGGTCCGGGCCCCTTTATGGGAAGCCCGAAACTCCTCGAGCAATTATAACCTTAACCTTACACCCCAAGCCTTGAATCTTTTCCGGGCACTTCATTACGATGTTTGGTGTTTCGGGTTTAGGGGTGTTTAAGGGTTTTCAGGGTAGAGGGGCATTAGCCGGGGGCTTTGTGTGGCTTTGGGTTTAAGAATATGAGGCTTGCAGAGTGGGGTTTTGGGACTTTGGGCGTGACGTGGAGTCGACAGACAGGCTCTATAGAAGCCTCGTAGTCAAGCCGTTTAAAGTTCTACATAAGGGTTTATAGGGTTTAGGTGGAGTTCGGTCGGTGGTGCTTGGGGTGTTTAGGTTTCGGGTTTGACACTTGAGAGGGTTTTGGTTGTGCTGGAAAGTGCTCCAGGTCAAGACCTCCCGGCACGAGTTCTCTGGGTTTTTGGGTGATTGACAGACCCTTAATTACCTAGATAGCCTTGGGTACCCATTCAAAAACAGGCTTGGCAGAGTGTGTTTTTGGGCAAAGCTTAAACCACATAGCC